GCAACAACGTTAGCACCCACGAAGGTCACAAGATGGAGTGTGTTCCCCTCCTGCTGGGTGGCTGTCATGTATGACACACAACTCAAGCCACACACACACACACACACACACACACACACACACACACAGAGAAATTCAATCTGTGTTAACAATAAACTGCCACACAGAATAGTGTTTATCACCAACTGTTTTTTTCTTCCTACTGGCGGGAAGCAGACAGGATTTTGTGTTACCAAGGGAGACGGGCGATGCTGTGGTTCAGACGCAGCTGATTTCATTTTGTATTTATATTTAGGGAATAAGAGGAGCCTCCTCTCCAACCATAAGAGCTGTATCACTCTGAAAATGTTCTATTTTTATTGAGTCTTGGGAGAAGGATTGCACACACAGACACGTGCGCCCGCAAAAACACACACGAGCACATCCGGACACGCACTTCTCAGCAGGTTCACAGACTCATTAGCGTTTTCCCAGCTGTCTGAGGAGGATCTGTGGGATGTCACCATCACTTACCTCAACTACATAGGGATCTTACAGCGACAGATATGCTTACACACCAACGCACGCGCTCGCTTCTGCAGCAGCACGAGCAAAATGTGAGCTCAGAGCAACGAGTATTGTCTTTTCCACAGGGCCGGCTGCTGGCTGGATGATGAATGTGCCGCTCGGCTGTGTGTCCTCCCTTTGTTAATAGAGTGATAGAGGCTCAGAGGCACCTCGCGCTCGCCGTCCCTCCACCGAGGAAGTGGTCATAAATAGGCACAAGAAGACGCACGGCTGATGCGGTCTAAAGAAAAGCTTTTTAACTTTTAACTCGTGAAATAAAATCTCATTGCTTTGAGGAGGAACACTCAACAAGTTTACTGATTTTGAGTCTGATTATCAAAAGGCTCTCAAATGAGGAGCTGTGGTCGACTGTTCCTGTGGAGTCATGGAGTCGCGTGTATTAAATTTTGAGAGTTTTTTCGGGTTCGGTCGAGTGTTTTTTACATGCTTCTAACTCAGTAAGTCAACGCAACACAAACTAAAAACTCCCAGACAAACCTTGGACATTTAAAGGATTTTATAAACTTCCCCGGACAAGGTCGGACAGCCCCCCAAAAAGAGGACATGTCCAGGTAAAAGAGGACATATGGTCACCCTCCTCTTTTTAGTGTTTTTTAATTGACGGCCAATTCTGTCATGATGATGAACATCTCATAAAACCATTTATCAGCTCAGTTAACTGGTCATCTGAGCGATTGATCCATCTCTGCTTGATGGCCTAACAGTCTAGGCGTGCTCACTTACAAAGGCTGCAGAGGTTGCTGGTTGTATTCCTGGCCAGGACTCTATACTGCAAGATTTCCCCCACTCCCTACTCCTAAGCAACTTTCTCAAAAAGAACAACAACAACTACAAAAAAAAAAAAGTTTTCAAGGTTTGAGAGATAAAGCTGATGTGTAAACTGCAGTTCCTTAAGTGACCACTAGAGGCTGGCAGACGTCACGTAAATAATAATAATCGTCGTCGTCATTTTCTTCCGCTTCATCAGGGTCCGGCCCTCACCACAGCCACTTCCACCAGCTCCTCCAGGGGGATTTCCACGCGAGAGATATAACCCCTCCACCTGGTCCTGGGCCGGCCACAAGGTTTCCCCCCGGTGGGACATGTCTGGAACACCTCTAACGGGAGGCGTCCAGAAGGCGTCCTAACCAGGTGCCCGAGCCACCTCAGCGGACTCCTCTCAACGTGGAGGAGCAGCGGTTCTACTCTCAATTTGTATTTGCGATCTTGGTTTATCGGTCATTACCCAAAGTTCCTGACCATAGGTGAGGGTCGGCACGTAGATCGACCTTGGGCAGACTGCTGGAAACTCTGACCACCACCACTACACAACACTCACAATCATACACCAGTGGAGGACAAACACTGGGAGCAAGGTGGGTGAAGTGTCTTGCCTAAGGACACAACAGACAAACTCTGGATAGGAGGGGAATCGAACGGCCAGCCTTCTGGTTATTGGACAACTGCTCTACCTCCTGAGCAACTGCTGCCCACCCAAAAAAAAAAAGACCATCTTTACATCAAACATGAATATACAGCCCTCTCCTTTCTTTCTACTGTATGGGGAATAATTTATTTAAATAATATATTAATTTCAAAAAATCAAGGTTACAAGTTTGGGAAGTTAAATCCACATCTGCACTGACTGACATGCACGCACACTAGCAGTTAGCGAGCAGGTTATAGCTCTGCTTCAGCCAGCATGACTCAGCATTTCCGACGTCTGCGTCTAGTCAGGTTTAAAACTAATGAGCGAGGTCACTGATGCTATACACACCATAAGAAAAAACTGTTAATTCAGTCTTTATTTATAGTCATGTGTAAGATCTTAACACATTACATCATCTTGTCTGAGTCTGGCTTTACTTTGAAAAACGCTCGTCTGAGCGGCCGAGTTAATGTATGATGAAATATTCACTACAGTATAAACTTCACCTCCAGTCCTTCAGGGGGAAACCTCTTCAGTAATCATGATCACATCAATAATATTAACTTCTTGCCACAGGGCAGGATGTGTAACTTCAGATCCACCCATCTCCTCCCACTCAGTTGGTCAAGTTCACACCCAAACGCCTGTCACTCATCTGGAGGAGCTGTTTACTTTGAAGCAGCATCTCGCCTCGGGCTGAGCGATACAGCTTCAGTTAAACCTCTGACAGATGCTGAAGAGAGAGACAGAAAGGGATTTTCAAGGGACGTCTTTCTAGCAAAACAAGCGCCTGTTCAGGCAGTTTTTTTTTGTTTTTGTTACTTTGGTTACTCTGTCTGAAAAACATGTGACTACGACAGGAGACGTCACTGTGCGGTCTCTGCAGATCTAACATGAGTCTGGTCCTGCTCGAGGTTTCTGCCTGTTAGAGAAAGTTGGTAAAAGCTGCAAAGTGTTCTTCACTCATGTGTAGGGATGGCAATTGTTAAGAATTTTGTGATTCAGATTCCATTATCAATACTGCTTATCGACACGATTCTCTTATCGATTCTCTTATTGATTCTCATTGAGTGAGAAATAAGATAAGACAAATGGGTTTGTTCTCATTAACTGTTTAATATTGTCATATACACGCACTAATAATTTGTTATGTGACCTACCCTTTGACCACAAATCTGGTCACAGCTCGGTGACATTCGTTCATCTTCACTTCTGTCACTTAACTCCTCCCCGGCTGCCAAAGGTGTGCAAGAGCTACCCGCAGTTTGAGCGCCAGCCTCTGAGCTAGCATGACTCCGGCAGTCATAGTCATCTTAATGTAATTTAAGGAGTTGGAGAGTAGTTATGCAGTAAAAGAGGGTTAAAATGGCGCTAACATCTACACATCTGACAGGACCTGGAGGAGTTAAACGTTAAACTAGCTCTGCTTCTGCTTTTGCCTGTACCAGTCTCGCCTTCGCTAAGTAGCGTATCAAACACGTTATACTTCCGCTAATAATTGCATTTCTGAAACATACAGCAGCTAAACATGATCCAAAAGCACGCATTAGTTCTCTGACTTCATGATAAATGTTGAAGTTGTAAGAATAAAAGCTCTTTTTTTTTTCATTCAGCTTCTTGAAATGACCACGGCGCTCTCTCTGCTTTAACAGTTTTTTTTTTTCTTTGTGCACAGAGCATTAAAAAAACAATTAACCGTTTCTCCAGCCCTTTAGTAAGGACATTAGTGCTTCTGAAAGGAAAATGCAGGTTTTGTGTTACTAAAAAGTTGGCTCCTCCTCACATTTAAATGGCCTACTTCACAGTAAGTGGTAGTTACTGCTTATTTTGGAGCAACACAACAAAACAAACCAGTAAAAACTGACAGAGAACAGAAAAAAACATGATTTGTACAATGACTGGTTTTTACAAAGAGAATTATGATTTGTTTTCTGTTTATGTGAACTGTCTAAAAAGGAACCACAGGAGTGTTTTTCTCCGAAATAGTTGTGCCAAAACAAACTTTCCTGTGGTTCTGCAGGAATGAACTTGTGTAGATCAAAGAAACGGTTTTTGCTGAGGACTGGGTTCAGACATCGGCTGTAACATAATGCCTGGCAGAGGCAGTCAAAGGAAACGTCAACACTCATACTTTGTATGTTTTTCTAATAGTATTTTACTGCCAATGTTGTCAGCATGCTGCTTTTCTTCAGAAGCTGAACAGTCTGTAGTGATCTTTTATCACGGCGGGTGCCATGCTGCGTGTGACACACTTTCATCATGCTGTAGTTTAACTGTATTCCCTGTTGAACAAAACAAACCTGCTAGCCTCGGGGGTTTCTCGTGCCTAAACATAGACCTCAAAGGATCACACTGATCAGCTGCACGGCTCCCAAGGTAGCACTTTAGTAACAGTTTAAAATGTTTAAGTACAAATGCAGCGTCTCGGTGTCAGCTTGGGGATGCAGAGTAAGAATAACAGCAACAATGTGAGACATTCAAATATTTTCAGTGTTTTCCAGTTTTATTTAATGTTGTTGTGACTGTAGCTCGGCCATCGGTGAATAAATCTGATGGTTTTCCTGAGGCAGCAATAGTTGTTTGTTATCATCAATAATACTCTGACTTTTGGGCTAAACCAAAAATTTAGTGATACAGAAATTTACAACAATAACCAACTTCATTTTGCCCATATCTGTACAGTAAATATTTTTTTTATAACTTCATAAAAAATTTTAAAAAATTGGCCGATTAATCTGTAATCAGATCGGCCCCAAAAAAATCCATATCGGTTGGGCCCTATACATCATTATTGTTTTGTCACCCAGCCCTATTTATATGCTAGTTTTCTCAGAGATGCAGTATTTTTTCTTTGAGCAGCTAACAGATCAGTGAGATAAAATCAAACAACATGAGAATAAACTTTAATAAACTAAAATATATCTATTGCATGCATGTAATTTATTAATTTATTTGTTTACAAAAGTTATCCTGACTGAACTTTTTCTTTTTTCCAAGCCAAAAACATGCTAGTGTCAGTTCTAGCTTTTAGCAGGAAGTCTGACAGTGATTTGATTCAGCCTCTAGTGGACACTCAAGGAAGTGCAGTTATTTTCACGTACCCACGCTCCAGACTTTGCTGCTTACACTTAGAGAAACAGAAGCAGAGACCTTGATTCTGCAGGACTTTGCCGCCTGCTGGCTTGTTGCTACAGCCGACCTCTCGCCGCCATGTGCTGAAGTGATAATCTGTGCCGTTTTTCTCTTATTATGGTGACATGTCATTGCTAAATGATCACCTCTGCTGCTGTTTCACAGACCTCTGCCCAGCAGTCATCTCAGACTGATGTCACTGTGACTTTGACATCTCTGGGCTGACAGCGGCTGCCACAACCACAACCGCAACCGCCGAGCTGACGTAAGAAAAAATATGAATATCAGGCTGAGATTTATGCGCACAGACGTTAATATCCGCATTATAAAAATGTATGAAATGTGTACTCTGCAGAGGAATAATAATGGATCATTTGGTTGCAAGTTTCTGCTCCTATTAGGCCTTTTCTCTGACATCAGAATAAACTGCCAAACTGAATTCAGATCAGAACTCAGCATGCTGTTTCATACATACTATTTCTTTAGTTTTCCTTCTTTCTGTCTTTTATATTAGTGTTGTCCAGTCATTGTGAATTTGATGAAGTGGGGCTTTAATTACAGACTCTGGAGAACTTCTTCTAAGTCTATAACTGTGCAGAAAAAAATCTGTTTATTTGACCGGACATAAAGACTTAAGAAAGACCAAAGACTAAACACTTGAAGGCAAAAACAGGAGAGAGAGAGAGAGAGAGAGAGAGAGAGAGAGGCTAGAGAGGTAAAAGACACTGTGGGCTGCCATGGACAAAAATGGGACAATCATAACAGTTGGTATATGAACAAATACTGTATAAGCAATAATGCATTTCTGTTTTATTGTACTCGATAAATTGCACTTGAATGTTAAAATTAAATGGTTCTTAATGAGTTTTTTGTACTAGAAATACGACAAAAGCAGATTCTAATAGGACGTTCACACAATCATGTATTCATTTCATTCGCGCTTATCTAGACTTGTGGATAAAATGTATTTACTCGCTTGATTCGCGCGAATGATTTGCTCTAGCCGCGAGAATCATTTGAGTCCATTTGCACACTTTTATTCCTGGTTTATTTATTCGCCCGAATAACTCGCTCAATTAACACAATTCGCGCCACCCAATTTGCATTATTCGTGCTACCAGAGTAGTACGAGTGTCTAACCATAATTTAATTTGTTCGTGCAAATGACTTTACCTGCACTCGGTGTGAACACCTCATTAGTTTTGAGAGTTTTGCTGTAAAATATTAACCATGTCTGTGAAGTCACATATTCAGGTTTAATTTTTTAAACTCATACTGTAAATGACATTTGACTATTTCAAAAAAGCAGAGTGAGATTTTACTTACAGTTTTTAACATGCAAATCAGCAAAAGCAGCAAGGGGGCACCAAAACTAACACAAACCAAAACTCACAGGAGCTTTAACCTCAGGAAAATAAACCAAAAAGTGTTTCTATCACATCGCAGGAACTATTTAACTTAAGGTACAGTCAGACTAGGGCAACATATATCACGAAAACGTCGTGATATATGTTGATATCAACTGATATGAAAAAAATTTATCATGATAAACTTTTTCCCATATCACCCAGCCCTACATACAACTATCACTCATTGACTGTTTGACTAAAACAACTGGATACACGGAGCAAATCTGCTTCTTTAAAGCCAAACATCCCCTAAAATAATCAGCCAAGAGCCGATAAATCAACAAACTTATTCCTCTTTCTCATAAAACTACACCTCTGCAAAATCCAACACTTTGGTCCGATGTTTCTGCAGACGAGACTCTTCCCGCTTGAATCTGGGCTGATTTATTCTCTCAACTATTTCAAATGTTCACAACAGCTGGCTTTAAAGCACCCCAGCTGCATTATCTCAAGTGCTAGCAGCATTGGCGATGCCGAATGCACGCCGGACGCTGTAAATCCAACGTCTGCTGCTGTAAAACTCACTACTCTGGGTATCTCCCTGCACCTCCTCCTGTGTTTATTCACTGTCTACAGAGTGAGCTACACTCATGATCCCATTCATGGAGCCTTACAGCATCCTGGATGTGATGTAGAGGAGCTCGAAAGAGATTTCAGGCTTTCTGCATCCTACCTCCAGCTTCATTTTCTAACATTTACAGGTTGGCCTCCTGCTCTTTTCCCCACTTGCCGTCAATCCCAACAGAAGTGCTATTTAGCGAAGACAAAACAGCCGAAACAAACAACAGCAAAGGAAGTAGGAGGTGGAGAAAAAAGGCTTTTCAAAGTTGTGATGTCTGACCTAGAAAAAAAATGCCTACGATTCTCCTTTGAATTAGCGTTTGGAATTAGAAGATAGAGCCGCGGCACACTTCAAAAACAAACGGATAACAGTCAGGTTTCCGACTTTCAGGGTCAGACTCGCAGCTTTATTTGTTCGAGCTTCTACATGGTCCTCTTTGGTATTTGCGGCTTTCTAATTAACGGCGGTGGAGGATGTTTGAGGAGCTCATTGATGTTTATCAGCTTTGATGAGAGAAAAGTGCCACCATCGGCGGGCCCTTTGCAGCGAGTGTGTACATTCACACTCTGATTACAGCTTTATTCATTTGATTCTCAACCTGCGCTGGAAATGATCCCATTACACACACAGAGAGACATTTATTAGTGCAAATGTACAGAAAAGTAAAGATAAAGAACCTCATATACTGTGTTGAGCAAAAAAAGCCCTTAATATCCACACTTACTCTCCCAGGCACCAATGTTTTGACAGATAAAATGATCAAATGGCAGCAGAGTGCTGATTACAAGAAGTGATTCACCGTCAACAGATGTTGTGTGATCATAAACAAGAGGATTTTTGTCAGAGCCATGAATCAAACTGCCTGCCCTAATGCTGCGGTGTGCGGCACCGAGACTCATCAAGGTGCTTTTATTATTCCAGGCAAACTCCAGTTTCAACCCCGAGGAGAGACCGAGTGGCTAAACCAAAAGCTCAGGTCGAGTCTTCGTGCGGCTTTGATCACAAGGAAAGGATTCAAAGTTTCTGCAAGATCTGAAAAAAAAAGAAAAGAAAAGAAAAAGCTCCCCAGTCTGTCTTTTCGGGGTTGTGCTTAAACTTCTTCTGACTTCTCCATCTGAAGCCGCTCTGATTACAATGTTATCACTAATGCCTCTGCTTCTATTGAAACTGCTAATAAAGCACTCTATATTTACTTATGTGATTGCATCAGGCGCTCGCCACAAATCAATTAAAAAACAAATTTAATTAAGGGCTTCATGCAGTGTTTGCGTCTTCGCTGTAAACCGCTCGACTTAATCTTCGCTTGATATTTGAGGGAAATTCTCGCCGCTCGCTCCATTACACACTTCTGTGGTTTGCAGAGCTCTTGAGGATTTCTTCAGAGCGCTGCTGGTCAAAAACGGTGATATGTGCGTTTATAGTGGCGCCGGATTCAACACTTGATGCATGATACACAAAAGGATAAAAGAGGTGCTTCAGATGTTGAGTGGTTTCCGTCTCCTATTGAACACCAGATAGTTCTGACAGACGCAACTGAGGTTGAGTTTAATTGCAGTTTTCAAAGGCGCCATGGGAATACTTGAGAAAAATATGATCTGTGATTTGTGTTTTGATACACACATACATGTTTTTTAACTAAATTATTACTTTAAAGTCCCACTCCGATCATTTTTAAGAGTTCTCAGTGGTCTTTAAATTGTGATTATGAAGTTTTTAGCCAAAATCACGTTACCTGTGTCATTTTAAAGCGCTTTTCTTCAGGAGTCATTTAGTTGAGTCTTCACAGTGTCTTAAAGTTTGTCAGACCTGGACTAGATTATCCCAGGGAGTCTGCGAATTTTTAAGCACTTTCACATTTAAGAAACCTCAATCCTATCTATAAAAATGCAAAATCCCCTAATCCACACTGTAACTGTTTTTTTCTTTTCTATTATCTTACATTTTCACACTTAATGTTTTACAGAGCTGAAATTAGATTTTCGACACAGTTAAGACTTACAGTGAATGACTAATACACTTGCAGCAAAGCGAGTAACACCGAAGAGGAAGTAGCGGAAACTTTGCACTGCGAACACAAAGTCTCTGAACTTTCTCAGCAGGAAAGGCAAGACGCAGAAGAGATCGCCTGCTGAGGTATTAAGCCCAAAACCGGCCCAAGGCATAAGCCCTGTGGCCAATAGGGGGCCCCCAAGAGCAAGAAAGAAAATCAAAATATTGTTTATTTTTTGCACGTATGAGTGATGCTTTCTGTATCATCAAATATATATTATTGTAAAAATAAAATGAAATAAAGTAAAAACATTTTAGTGCTGCTGCTGATGTAGGCCTATGATTCTTACTGCCGATATGTCAAAGCTCCACTACCGTCATGTGCCTTTTGCTGTGCGATGTGCGCTGAGCATCCAAAGCGCAGGTTGTTGTGGGGCTAAAAAATATCGAAAAAAAGGATGTATACTTCATGAGCAGAGAAAAGAAAGAGGAAGAAGAGAAAAACGCCAAAGATAAAGGTGTTATGTCATGGATTGGTTAAGAGATTTGTGAAGGTGTGTGAATGATCAATAATCAATATTATTGGCAGAGGTAGATGGCCCCAAAATCAAATTTCACTTAGGGCCCCATAGAGGCTTGGGGCGGCTCTTATTATGCCTTATGGTGGACTTAAATCCCAAAATACACAGCCATTGGGGCGACCATACATCCTCTTTTGCCCGGGCATGTCCTCTTTTTGGGGGGCTGTCTAGACTTGTCTGGTCTTGTCCGGGGGAGTTTATAAAACCCTTCAAATGTCCGGGGTTTTATATGAAAGTTTTGAGTTTGAGTCGCGTGGACTTACCGAGTTAGAAGCGCATAAAAGACACTCAATCTGACTCGTAAAACTTGCTTTTTGTGACTAGTCGTGTCTTCTTTTTAGGGGATTCAGAATATGGTCACCCTACAATGTACCACCATGTACGATTGTGCAAAGATGGACAAATGGGAGGGTTGTAATTAATCTGGTGCCAAGCATTGACAACAAAAGGTTTTCAATTGTGCCAAAAATCTCACTTCACAAGGTTCATAACTCAAAACAAAAAAGGGAGAAAGAGAATGCAGAGTGACACTGAGATTTCAGATGCAGCCTTCGTGTCATGTTTGCAAGACATCCAAAGACGACAGGCAAAGCAGAGTCCAATGCTACACCGACCTCTTTCTCTCTCTCTCTCAATGCTGCATGTAAATCTACGTCTTCACAGCCACAAAGTCGAAGACAAATCGCAGCTGGTAGCCTGATATAAACCCGTTTACACTTGTGCTTCTAATATCACTAACACTAACATGTGACTTATTTACATGACATGCAAGCTAACTGAGGCTCACATTGAATGGCCTTATACAAGAACGACATACTTAATATTTGTGAAGGTGGCACAACAATAGTATTCACCAAACTGTGGAGGAGGAAGGATTTTCTGTACATGTATTTCAGAATACGGTTAAAGGAATCAAACCTTTCCCGTTGGGCTGGAATCATTATGTTCACCTGAGGTGGCTTTTCTTTAAGACAATCTAACCTTTAAGACGCTGTGACCTACAGAATCCAGCTGCATCAGCTGATCCATGAAGCACTCTGCCTCTCGCGCTGTATCCGGGAAGATGAGAGCGAGCGCTCTGCTGTGCATGTTGATGAAGTCGGGCTGTGACTGGGGACCTCCTCATTAAGGTGTTAATTGGATTGGTTACCTGCACTGTCCCTTTCTGCCCTGGGCAGTGTGTGCTCCTGCGTGTGTGTGAAGATGTGTGTGCGCACATGTGTGGAGGTGTATGCATTAGTGAAAAATCAAGAGATAGAGGCAGAAGCCAAAAGACATGCGGGGTGATGGGGTGGGATCTGGGGAAGCATCAGCTCTCTTTGGGGAGAGGGGTGAATCAAAAACAGACGTGCGTTTTGATGAGATGTTATTTGATTTCTGATTGATACAAGACCCCCTCTAATTGGTCTGTGCTGCCAGAGCGATGGCTCCCAGGCACAGCTGTCACCGCATCACATTTATGCTGATACGTCCGTGCATCATCAATGACCTTTTTGAAAATGAAGGCCGGCCCTACAGAAAGCTGTCATGTTGAACAGAGGAGGAGATGACGGCCGGGTGACAGAAATCAAGTTACCAACCTGATCTACGCGTCACAATTTATTTTCCCGTACAAATCTGGTCTTTATTAAAACAGGCCACAAAGGACGACAAGTATTCCATCCAGGTGTGAGAGTTGATAATAACTTTAAAATCGAGCTGCCGCTTCAGACTTCGATGCATGATTTCAACCCGCTGAGGGGGATTGTGGGGTTTTATTTTCTCATTATTGGGACTAAGCTTTTCCTAAAGATGTCATTTTTGTCGAACGTTGAAGTTTTTCTTCTACAGCTGATCAAAGATTTTAACGTTCCTGTTCAAAAAGTATGAATAATTTTCTGTCTTTCCCAGAGCCTTTAAAAATAAATCATCCTGAGAAATCACATGAAGGTTTTCTAAATCTTTATCCTCTTCGTGCTTTACCGAACCTCTAAAGTGTCTTATTTTCAAGCTCTGCTCCTGACCGATCAAACATCTATAAAACACGAATACTCGTTTATTGCACCATGCTTACACAGCTGATTTGTGTTTGTATATGTTATGTAAATCAATCAATACTGTTGCTGTCTGAATTGACAGAAAATCATCCCTGATGCACCGCGAGTCAAAGTTTGATGCCAATTTCTCTGTATTTAAATCAACCTATCGACTATCGCGACGCTCCTGCTGAGGATCTGCTTCGTAATGTCGGGTCAAGTGCTCCAAATACTTGCAAATATGAACTAGGGCTGCACGTTTAATCGATTTTAAATCGTAATCTGGTTATTTGATAATGACGACAACGTTAAATAAACTAAAATCATCAAAAGGGTTTTCCTCTCTATCAAGTTTCACGCCTCCAGGCCACCATAGGCTCCCCCTTCCGACACTCACCAGTGTAAACAAACATGGCGTTTGCAAAAAAAGGTGATAATTCACAGTTTCGGACGAAGAGCAAACCACTCCCCGGTATCAACCCGTCTACAAGGAAACAAATTCAGGAGTAAAAGCAAACGTTTTTTGTTGTATCGGCGTTTCAGGTGACTGCAAACGGTGCATAAATCCATAAACGACTTCCATTTTATCTCCGTGTGGATGCCTATTTGGATTTCTCAAAACGATTATGTGACACACAACGAAACTCTTTTATGGCTCCTGCGCTTGTCTGGTCAAAACAACCTTTATACGTACGCTCCGTACTCTTCTTCTGTTTTTTTGAGCATTTACTCGGCAGCGTCACAGCGCCGCTCACTGGCTTGGCATATGCGCTACATCGTTTTCAGTAATTTCATTTTGAAAGATGATAGAAAAACTTATTGTTAAAGTGAAGTTGATGAAGTTGTCACTGAATGAAAAAATCAAAATAAAAAAAATAGAAAAAAAATCGGGATTTTATTTTTGGCTAAAATCGTGCAGCCCTACTGGCAGGTGGAACAAGTCATGTCAACAAGTCATGTCCAGGCCTCCACTCCTCCCATTTCCTTTTTATGACTCTAACATTTTGACTCCATCTTTAATGCACCTCCTTTTCCTGGACAACTAAACATTGAAGTATAAAACGTCTTTTCAGCAGTTCACAGAAATTAAAACAAACGTAAATCTGTTTACTTCAAGCTGCTTATTCAGTCTATTCTCTTATCTTTTTAGGCTTGAAATTATTACAACACTTCTCCTCGACAATCGAGTTTCCTGATAAAAAAATACAAATTTTATTTTTGGCCCTAATATGAACCAAGATGAGCGCTTCGGTCAACGAGGTAAAGCAGGCCCCCATTTGCTGAAAAAGGGTGGCGTATTTAGCGTAAAAAAATAACCCCGAAATGTCCCTTTAAATGTAAAAGGTGTGTGAATAATAAGTGCAAGAAAACAGAAACATTTAAAGAAAAATGAACTTTCCACAACAGCACACCGAGTAATTGTGCTGCTGCAGACATTAGGAGGAAAAATCACAGGTGTTAGGGATAACATTAAGGATGGCTCTGCTCCATGTAGGTGTCCCAATGAGCCATTGCAGCGAGCCCTTGTGCACAGTATCAGGCCCTGAAACTGCAGCAGCTGTATGGAATATTGCCATAATTAACATTATTAATAACAGCTGTGAATTTTCCTGTTCTGACATATAGTCTCATTTAATCAGTGAAATATTCCTCTCTACCTCCAGACTGAATAAAAAACTCATACCGGACGCCGTCATTAGAGTAAATCACCGTATCCTGCCACAGTCCACCTGCCCGGCTGTTAATCAACCACCTGAGCTTCACCCCCTCACCTCAGGTATGGTTTTACATAATGACCAACGCTGCTCTGTCAGGACCAGATTACTCATTCAGTCTCCCGTGTCAGAGAAAGAGACGGCATCAGCATGTCACAAAATCAATGGCAGTTTCATGAGGAAATCATCATTCTTGCTCTCCGCCCGAGCCCCCTCCGGCTGTTTTCTCCCCCGTCATGAGGAGATGGAGAGTTGGAGGGGCGGCTGGCGCACGGACACAGATAGCGACGGATGGCAGTACAGGGCTAAAGCTGGGTAGTGATCGATACGGAGTTGGCAAAGGGCTGGGGCGAGGGATAAACAGTGGAGATTGCTCTGAGGCGCTAGCATTGATGTGTGATTAAAGTCAGAGAATCCCCCCGCTGTCCGGAACTTGTGAGTGAGATCTCTGACGCCGGGGTAATTGGTCTTGGGAAAATCAATGGATTTGGCGAGTGAGCTAGTCGCGTCTGTCGAGGCAGCTGGACGGCGCGGGGTAAACACTGGCTTTTCACCTGAGGCTGAACTTGACATTTATTTCTGAATAGGCTTAAGGCGCAGGATTCAGCCGGCGAAAATATTGCTGAGAAGTGCGACAATATAAAAGGGGCGATATCTGACCTTAGAGGTGATCCTTGTCCTGAGCAGGGTCACGTCCTCGGAAAAGTCTTTTTTCTTTGAGAACCTGAGAAATAACAACCAAATCCCCCCAAAAAACAACTTGCACATACTTGATGTTTTAATTCAGCATTTTAGGTCAAAGTGTTCAAATTAAGCTGCGTTTTCAAGAGGAGGGTTTTATCCCACAGGGTCCTTTTAAATTTACAATTAGTCAGCATTTGTCAAGATACGCAACATCCTTAGACTAGGGTGACCATATTCTGAATCCCAAAAAGAGGACACGACTATGCGGGGGCGGAGTCATGGAATCGTGCGTATTTTGAGAGTTTTCCGGGTCAGATCGAGTGTTTTTTACACACTTCTAACTCAGTAAGTCCATGTGACACAAACTCAAAACTCTCATACAAAACCCCGGACATATGAGGGATTTTATAAACTCCCCCAGACAAGGCCAGACAGCCCCCAAAAAAGAGGACATGTCCAGGTAAAAGAGGACGTATGGTCAGCCTTCTTAAACTGCAAGGGTTACATAAAGACATAGATGGCCAAAGACACTTTTATGCTAGTTTTCGACAGCACCACCATAAAAAATCATCAGCATCGAGGTCAGTAGTTCATTTGTTTAAGAGACGACAGGATGAAAATACTTCTTCCACATTTACAGGACGAGAGAGAAGAGGTATAACTTTGTCCACAGGGGGCGCCAAAATCTGCACAAACCAAAAACTCTTCAGTCACAAACAGGTGAATGATAAACTCGACAGAAGTTATACTTAACATGTAATCTGGTGAAACTTCACGTTATAGAAGATGCAAAGGTACTGCCCTGACAATCCCCAAGATGTAAAAAAAAAATTTGTGTAATCCATATGAATATTTAAAAAATCAGTACAAAGGTTAAAAGTAAATAGTAAAATATGAAATGTAGATTTACAGTCCGCACGCAAATAGCGACAAATTCACCCAAAATGCATTTCCCACCTCCACGCAACAGGTGGCAGCAGAGGGATATGTTGCATACATTTAGACGGCACATACACTCCTGTGATACATACTTCTCTATCTATGAGACATAACTCTGGAGCGAGAGCCCATCCAGTGCTAACCGAATATAAAGACAAGAAAATGCAAAAAGTTGCAGTTCCATGAGTGTCCACTTGAGGCCAACATGACTCTATTAACACCCTTGTCGAACTAACTGCGACATTTGATCATGTTCACTAAAAAGTAGGGGTGTCCTTATACGATATTGATATCAGATATCAGTGCAACATCAGCAAAAAATCAAATATCGGATTATATCAGCCTGCATCTAAAATCTCCGATATCAGCACTCCGATGCAAGCGGTCCATTCCAGACTCTAGCAGCGCTCAGATTCAGCATGTAGAGCCCACATGATCACAAAAACAGTGTGTACTAAGGTAGTAACAAAGTACCAAGGAATTGGAGTGATATCGGCTCTGTGGCAGTATTTTCGATAAAGTCCGAAAAAGACATTGCAGCTGATCAGAAAACTTGTTTATGCTAATATCGGGTCAATATCAGTATCGGACAATATTCAAGGCTACAATATCGGTTTTGTATTGGAGGTAAAAAAAAGTTGTTTCAGGACACCCCGACTAAAAAGGGTCTTTTAAACTACAGATATGACACCTGATATGTCTGATATTTATAGGTATCCTGTAAAACTTGAATTTCAGACTGAATTTAACCTTTCACAAACTTTTTATCGATCCCAATTTACATTTCTGTTCATTAAAAAGTATCAAGAAGGAAACGTCTTGTTTATCGGTTTTCGTTGGTATCCTCCTGTCTCTGTTATGAGTCTAATGAGGCTCTTTTTAAAGCAGCTGACCTACAGGAGAACCTCTGTTATAATCGCTTGTCGTTCGTCACGGTGGCTGCTGTTCAACAAAAGTGGTTAACCACAAGTAACTTTGAAAGTATATTCAGCCGCACCGTTTGCTGACCCTGTCTTTTCCTTTTGATTTTTCAGGCAGCGTTTTATTGGACAGGTCCTCACAACTTGGAGATAGATGTGAGCTTGTTCACCACTAACTACAGTTTGATTACCTCATCATCATTTGGCTCGTCGGTGTCACTCTGGAGTGTCAGCGAGCCAAAGTAATCGATGCGAGCACGCGCGCGAGTGTGTGTGTTTGCCTTTCAATTAATGGCTTTGAGCAGAAATGTGTATCTAACTGTGTTTGTGTGCACGAGTTTGGCACGTCGTATCCGGAGTGTGTGGTTTCCAGCAGAGGTGTGTGTCCGCGCGTGTGTGTGTGTATGCGTTTGTTTTGGCTGAGTCACGGCGGTTCTGGCAGGGTCGGAGCGTGCCGGGCTGCGAGGGGCCGAGTTTGGACGAGGTGGTGGAGCGGACGTGGGAACCCTCTCTCCTGTTCGCCCATCTGTTGTGCATGGTGGAGGTGCAAGAGGTGATGGAGGTGTGCTGTGTGTGCACGAGTGTGAAGG